TTTTTCATATTGTTTGTTCTTAAAGTATTCAGAACTGCAACATATTTTTCCATTTTTTCGAATTTATTAAAAAAGTAATTTTATCATTTTTCAAATGTTATAAAGCATAAATAAAAATTTCTCAATAAAGCCATCACTCAATTGAATCTATCTCAACTGATTATCAATTTCATTGTACCATTTATAAACTTTTGTCTACTTATACTTGTGTTTATTTTGTTTCTAAATTTAAAAAATTATTTAACAAAATTAACATATTTTAATAATCGCACTTAAAAATGATTATTTTTAAATAATCTTTTTTAAACTCTTTCATTAATATCACGGAAGAATATACAAGGAGTAATATACATTTAATACTAATATTTAATACTAATATTTAATACTATATGTTATATATGAAACAATTCAAATTAAATTATTATATTATATCTATATTTGTGCAATGTTTAATTAGCCAAAAGCTTAAAAAGTTACAATTAAAAATATATTTAGGAAATAATGTCATTTTGACAAAAATATTTAGCTGATGTACAACCAAAGATTTCTTTTTCGCTGACTCCGTCATTAATGAGAGATTACATAATATACTTATGCAGATCATAATATACGAAATGGAAGATTATATTCAGCAAGCAAAATCAGAAGAGAGGAATATATTTCAGCGATATATCAACAAATGCAAATTATTTTATGGTACGGCATTGTGTTTGATAACCACGACAGCTATAATAATGTGTTTCGGACCATTATTGATGACTCAACCCTTTCCAATCGAAGTTGAATATCCATTCATTGTAAATAAACAACCACTAAAAATTATTATTTACTTGCATCATATAATGGCTGTATACCAAAGTTGTGTGCAAGTATGTAGCAACGTCTTCGTAGCTCTTCTGCTTTGGTTCATAGCAGCAAGATTCGAGATTCTATCCCACAAATTTCAGAAAATTACAAGCATCTCAGAATTCATAATTTGTATACAGCTGCATCAACGGTTATTACGGTAATATATAAATTATGTAATGCATTCCCGCATAATATATTTTTTAAAACTAATTATATATTTGTATATTTAATATAAATAAGTGAAAAAGAATTATATATTCGATCAAAGCTAGTCTTGGTGCCAAATAATATTTTTTGTATTGTTTTATAAAAAATTTTACAATTTCTAATTCAAGCAAACTACCAGGTGTACAAATATGAAATGACGATTTTTTTCCCAAAAAAAACATGTTAAATTCGGAAGAATGATAAAAAGAGATTTATTCAAATGCTTCAATATGCTCCATTGCTAGTTACACATTTTTCCCATCTTTCGAGCAATTTAATATCACGCCAGTAAAAATCTTCCCCTTTTGCCGCGAACCATTCATCGAGCCATTTTTTCACATCTTCGTACGAACTAAAGCGCTGCTCAGCAAGTGCGACCCATCGATGCAAACAAGTAGTAATCGAAAGGAGCCAAGTCTGGCGAGTAAGCCGCACCGTGGGGTAAAACTTCCCAGCTGAGTGCTTCCAACGTGTCCCGAACGGTTTTGCCGTATGTGATGGAGTATTGTCAATGGAGAAAAATGACCTTGTGTTGCCTCTTTTGATATTCTGGTCGTTTTTTAAGCAGCGAACGGTTCAAATCGATCAATTATTATTGATAGCGTTTGGTATTAACCGTTTCGCCACGCTTCAATAGCTCATAATAGACCACACCCTTCTGGTCCCACCAAACACAGAGCATCGTCTTCCTGCCAAAACGATTCGATCTTGCGGTCGATGTGGATAGTGCGCCTGGATCTACCCATGATTTTTTGCGTTTGGAATTCTAAAAAAAAATCCACTTTTCATCCCCAGTAACGATACGATGCAAGAATGACTTTCTTCTGTATCGTTCGAGCAAAATTTCATATGTGTTTTTGCGTCTCTCCATCTGTCTCTCGTTCAATTCATGTGGCACCCATCTGCCGAATCTTTCCTATCTCTCGTAGGCGATTGGAAAGCTTGTTGACTAACGCTCAATTGCTCTGCGAGTTGTTTTTGTGTTTGTGAATCATCTTCATCCAGCAATGCTTGCAATTCCACGTACTTTTTGGGCAGTTTTCCGTGTTTCTTGTCTGCAACATCGAAATCTCCAATTTTGAAACGCTTTTGAAACCATCATTCACACGTTTTTTGCGATGGAGCATGTTTACCATAAGCTTCACCAAGTAATCGGTATGATTCCGCAGCAGTTTTTTTCAAATGAAAACAAAAAATTAATGCTGTCTGCGAATGCTTATTTAGTACAAATTTCGTCATCTTAAACACAGCAACACAATACTATGCAAACATTTTTCAATCAAATCATTTTGCGCGTTTGACACTTGTTGATAGTACAATAGTAAAATGGCGTATAATGTTAAATCTTTATATTTCACACTGCATTAATGCGCCATCTGTTTCTCAAATCGTCATTTCATACTTGTACACCTGGTAAAAGCCTGTCAGTTTTAAAACACGGGCTAAAACTGAAACTGGATTATGTTATATCACAAATTAAATTGGTAAATACTAAGTATAAGCATATTCAAGCCTATAACGGTTAAAGTTAGATTTTCTCAATGCCTTCACAGTGAATTATCTATATCCTATGTACATGCATATATGCCATAATTTTTGTAGTTATTATGCGTTATAATTATGCATTAGTTAATAAAAAATAATATAAATATACAAATGTATAGATGTTTTGATCGTATAAGTTAAAAATATCAGCCAAAAAATTAACTAAAAAACTAATATTTATAAGTGAAAATCAGTCAAGAAATGTTTAATACAATCAAGCGAAGAAAGCCACTGGTCATATTCGGTCAAGGAGAGTAGTTGGTGTCTAATAATTGGTATCAGTAATATTAAACTTATCAATTTAATAAGATTTTATTAAGATCGATATAAAATTAAATACTAAGCATATTCAAGTCTATAACGATATAACGAAAGCTAGATCTTCTCAATGCCTAAATAATTCACATTATGAATTATCGATATTCTATATATGTATGTACATGCATGTATACCATATCTTTGTAGTTATTCAAACTGCGCCGAAATTTTTCCGGACTTTATCAAATGCAATTAAACTATTGTAATAATATCACAAGTTAAATTAAATTGACAAGCAAATTCTCAATCTTTGATCGAGAAAATATTTCGGAGGAGGTAATATTTTTTGCAATAAATTTATTTAAGGTTTTCAGCACATTAACACTCTAATAATATCAGATCGAAGATTGAGAATTTGCTTACACATACATATATAGAATACCGATACACTGTGAATTATTTAGGCATTGAGAAGATCTAGCTTTGACCGTTATAGATCATGAATGTTTAATATTTAATATGCTTAGTATCGGTCTTAATAAAATCTTATTATTATTAAATTGGTAAGTTTAATATTACTGATATCAATTATTAGACACCAATACTCTCCTTGACCGAATATGGCCAGTAGCCTTCTTCGCTTGATTGTATAAACATCTCTTGATTGATTTTCACTTATAAATATTAGCTTTTTAGCTAATTTTTTTGGCTGATATTTTTAATTGATATTATACGATCAAAACATCTTTAAACTTGTATATTTATATTATTGAGAGTACAAATAAGTTTCCGCCGTTTGCAAAAGACGCCACTAATAAACTATAGTTAAAATTGTTTGATGTAAAACGGCATATCGTAAGATTGGACATCCGGCAATACCATAACCTTGAAATATTAAGCGATTTTGTATCAGCATCATATATTTTTTTTTGTACGAAAATGTCGAGTTTTGAGCCGAATAAGCGTCATTTGCGGGAACTTTTGATTTACTTCTTTAATTTGAAGAAATGCTCAGCTGAGGCTCATAGATTGTTTGTAGAAGCATACGGTGATGCTGCCTTAAATGAGAGAAGTTATCGTGAGTGGTTTCAAAAGTTTAAAAACGGGAATTTGAAGTCGAAGACAAAGAACGTAGCGGAAGGCCGAAAGTACGAAGACGCGGAATTGGAAGCATTACTGGATGAAGATTCATGCCAAACGCAAAAAGAACTTGCACTTACATTAGGAGTGACTCAACAAACAATTTCATATCATTTGAAATCATTGGGAATGATTCAAAAGCAAGGGAATTGAGTTCCATATGAACTGAAACCGAGAAACGCAGATTGAACGCCGATTTTTCACATGTGAAATACTTGCCAGGCATAAACGAAAAGGTTTTTTTGCATCGTATAATCACTGGTAATGAAAAATGGATCTACTACGATAACTCAAAGAAGAGGAAATCATGGGGATCAGCTAGCCATGCTTCGACAGCCAAGCCGAATATTCATTGAAAAAAACTCATGTGTATTTGGTAAGATCAGCTTGGTGTCGTGTATTATGAGTTGCTCAAACCGAACGAGACCATTACTGGGGTTCTCTACCGAACACAATTAATGAGATTGAGCCGAGCACTCAAAGAAAAACGCGCCCACTATTATTCTAGGCATGACAAAATTATTCTCCTGCATGATAATGCTCGACCACATGTTCTAAGTAGGTCAAAACCTACTTAGAAACACTCAAATGAGAAGTTCTACCCCGCCGTATTCTCCAGATATTGCTCCTTCCGACTACCACTTGTTCCGATCGATGACGCATGGCCTGTCTGAGCAGCTTCACATCATATGAAGATACCAAAAATTGTATCGATGATTGGATAGCCTCAAAAGATGAAGCGTTCTTCTGACGCGGTATCCACGTGTTACCAGAAAGATGGGAAAAAGTAGTGGCTAGCGATGGCCATTACTTTGAATAAAACATTATGTACCGTTCTTTCAATAAATGCTTAATTTTTTATAAAAAACGGCGGAACTTATTTGTACTCCCAATATTTTTTATTAACTAACGCATAATTATAATTAATTCTGTAACAGCATACAGTAAAATTAATGAAAAACCAGTAATAATTAATAGCTAATTACAGATATGCAAAAGATGTTACTATGACAATTCGATACATAGCGTTATCAACGATAGGATTCAGTTCCATAGCAGTGATATTTAGTGGTCTTACTTTTTTGACCGTGAGTTATTTCTGTTCCATCTATTCAATGCATATACTTATTACATAACATTAAATACATACATTTTTTGCGTAAATATCTTAAATATTTTAATTAAAAATAGTAGAAATATGTAAACTTTAAGTCATACAAACATATCTAATATTTATGTAGTTAGTATTATGATATTTATATAAATAGATATAATCTAGACATTACATAATTTATTTTTAAATAAATTTATTTTAAAAAATTAAAAATTACTTTCTTAATTTAGAATTATAAACAATGACAAATTTTTTTTGTCACAAATATAATTTAAATTTTGTATTTATATTAAAATATTACTTATATTAAAATATTATCTTGCACAGCAACAAACATTAACTGTAAAAACTCAATGTTTTGCCATTTCCACATCCGCACTTATAGAGGTTTTCATCTGCGCATGGCCAGCTGATTATTTATTACGCACGGTAAGACAGCAGTCACATAAAACGTAAAAAAAGACATAAAAAGAATATAATAAAATAACATAAAAAATTGCAATAAATTAAAAATATAAATATAAAATATGTATAAATTTTAGAACAAATATATAGATATTACACGATTTTTTTTAATATAATTTATGTGATCTATAATTACATTTTCATCTTATAAAAAAATATACATTATATTAATGATTGTATGTTTATTCTGGGTAAAATTTTCTCATAATGTTTTCTTTATTTTAATATTTCAGAGTAATGACATTGGTTATGCTGGATATGAATCATCATGGTACAATAAAGATATATCTTTACAGAAGAATTTGTTATATACTGTGTCGAGATGTCAACATCCTGTAACTCTAACTGTGCCATGTCTGTTACCGAGTTTTTCACTTAATTATTATGCCTCTGTAAGTCATATCTTAAATTAAATATTCATATGAGTTATTTTTAGGTTTAATTGAAGTTCAATAATCTTGGATATAATAATTCATAAAAAAGAGTATTAAAGAAATGTCGATTTTCGTCTCCAAATGTTAAATAGATTAAAGTGATCTTTACATGTACACTTCTATAATAACTAGAATAATGGTTTTCCAATTATTAACTATACATATATGGCCAGACTGTCATCTTATTATTTTTAAGTTATTCTAGTAATATTTCTATTCCTTTTCGAAAAAATCACTATTGTTTTCTGTCATTCATAATTCCAAACAATGATTTTTCAACGTTCATTTATTTTACATTTGGCAGCAAAAATCGACAATTTTTAACACCCCCCTTTCCCCCCTTTATTATTATTTTCGGTAAAAATACATATGCCTCAATGACTTTGATTTTAATATGAGTTGTCGAGAGATCATGATCCTGAGTGACCTTCAACAGGTCAGGTTTTAGCCGTCGCTTGTTATTCGTTAAAAAGTTTAAACAGTTAATGTTAATAATTATTTCTCTCTCTGCTTTACATGAAGAGTGAGATAATTTTAGACAGTGAAAGAAATATGAGATGGACGAATTCAAGGAATACAACTTTCCACGCAAAGCGATTTTCATTCCACCTTTTCTCTTGTTAAAGGGCGCACGATTGTCAACGTAAAGTGACTTTCAACTCACTTCCTTCCCTGCTAAGAGATGCACGACTTTCCACGCGAAGCGATTTTTAGCCTACCTCCCTCTCTGTCAAGGTGCGTGTAATGTGTGTTTTCCACATAAAGTGGATCTCGCGTTGAACAGAATAGTGAGATGAATCAAAAAACATAATTGCTTTAAAAAAATATATATATGCAAAAAGAAAATAATTTTTTACATAAGCAATGTTTTCTTTCCCTTAATTGATTCATCTTATTATTTTGCATATATTGAGGTAATGATCAAAAAACTAATGATATACGAAACATTATACTTTTTTGACATACATTATTATAAAATGTTAAATAATTCGTAAACTATTAATTTTTTGATAATCGTACCTTACTTTTATATGGACAATAATTAGAATAATATTGTGTAAAAAATCATACAATTCCATTTAAAAAAGTGAAGGTTCTTGAAGTCTTAAAAAATATAACCTTGAGAAAAATTTTTTGCTCGTCATAGTATATGCCCCTTCGAATCTAGAACAAGATGATCTCCTATGGTATTTTCCCATATCATCAAAACGATTCTACGAATCATTTAAAACATTTTAAATGATCAAGTTACAGAAAATACTCTATATATGTATAGCAGAAATAAGACGTGATTTTTTCAAATTTGTTTTGTTAATAACTTTTTTTAATAAATAACGAGTTACGGCTAAAACCTATTGGAGGTCACTCAGAATCATGATCTTAATAACATATAATATATCAAGGTCGAGATCATTGGGGCTGGATCCCTTAATCGGTACTATTAACTTATCTTTTTAAAACATAATAGTTAATCATATCCATACAGTGGCGTGCAAAAGTTTCCAGCCAGTGACATTTTGTATTCTATAATAATTTATAAAAAAAACCTAATAAAATTTTAACCCTTATCGCATATCAGTATCAGTCAAGATGTAAATAATAAAAATCTTGTACTAACATCTGATAATGATTAAAATTTTCTCGGGCTTTTTTTTTAATAAATTAGAGTATATAAAATGTCACTGGGAACTTTTGCTACTGTATATATATATATAAATTTAAAATAAATTGTAATAAACTAAAACATTATTTAATAATTAAGAAGTTCGTGAGGGTTTATAATAATTTACAATTATTATTATACACTATCAATACTTAAAATAATAAAATAAGAATTATATATTTACATGTGACAGTTTTTATCAACTACGTTTTCCTATTTCACAACATTTCGAGCAATGCTTGCTAAAGAAGACGGGTTGCAAATGTAATCTACTGTATGTATTATATCATTCTAATGTGAATAAAATTGATGAACTAAAGTTGTAAATATTTTAAATCATAGGGTAAGACGCGATTATTCCGTCAATTTCAACTTTAAAGTAATGTGCAAATTTACGACGGTAAACAATATTTCTTTGTAATGACGTGCTTATACACAGCTACATTACATAATCATAATTGCACCTTAACAGCATAATCACAATCTTTAAACATTTAATATCTACTACACAAAAATATAATCATCGCGAAAAATGGACGAAAAAACTTCACTCTACTCTATGTCTGTAATTCTAAGTTAAAAATTAATAATAAAATTAATAATAAAAAAATATTTACAATTGATAGAATTAGTGTCACTTTATGTTCCTTATTATAATATTCAATATCTATAATTTATATAATTTATAATAGAATACATAATAGTATAATAGTAATATATAATAGAATACATAATAATAGAATATTATTGCAAAGAATATTATTTCTTTTTTGGAATGAGATTTCACTCTTTTAAAGTGAAATTTCACCCAAGAAGAGTAAAAATTTTTTTTTCAAGAAAAATATTTTCACTCTTCTCTAAAAATAGCTGTATTTTCATTGTCTGAAGTTTCACTCCAAGAAATTTAAAGAGTACAAAGTTTATTAAAGTTTATATTTTTCCGATTAAATAGAATATCTATTTTATAAATATTTCATCTTATTAAAAAGAAAATTAAAAAGAAATATTTGTTAATCGCTACGTATAATTACAAAAAGACTCTATGCTATTTATTATTTGGTGTTGAATTTATTAGAGAGAGAGAGAGAGAGAGAGAGAGAGAGAGAGAGAGAGAGAGAGAAGAGAAGAGAAGAGAAGAGAAGAGAAAGGAAGAAAGAGAGAGAGAGAATATAAATCAATCAATTTTTTATCTTGGTTATTTCTTAATAAACATAATATAATATAATATTTAATTCTTATAAATTTTTGTTACAGTCCTACAAGCTGTCTTGGCAAATCTATGATTCTCTATGGATAGATGTATCTCAAAATGTATCCCGAACAATTTTTATGATTGTCCAAAGATATCAGAAGCCATAATTGCAATTAGCAGTAAGTTGATACTCACACTTTCTATAAGATTTTACGAGAATGTGTAAGGCTAAATATTGTTATATGTATTAATATGTTTATCCTTTATCGGGTTATAAATTATTTATTGTATTTATAGGTTTTTTACGTTCTCATATTTTATGGCATTGCAAACGATACTACGTTAGATTTAAAATGCTTCCAAATATTTCATGTACTTATACCGACGATTAATAATGTAATGTCTGCAATATTTATAATATATTTATATATTGTAATACGAATTTCTAATAAAAAAAATAAAAAAAGAAAAAATCTTTTCATAATCTCATAGAAATTTTTTTAATAAATTGGACTTAATATTAACTTCGTTGTAATGTATTTAAACTTTTACAATATATCCAGTAAAGTAAGGTCGATCCCATGATCATTTTTCATATAATTAATGTATAAAATGAGAGAAAAAAAAGGTGTGTTCAGATTCCTACCTGGATGCTTCTCGAATTCAATGTCATCTAACGCAGAGAGAATCAAGGAAGAGTGGAGCGAATAGCGTTCTTTTCTCAGTAAAATGATATAAATGTATAACATAAAATACTTTTTCTACCTTACTTTATAATTTTTTCTTTTGGAAAATACGTTTTTAAACAATGATGTGAATACCGCATGAAGTAAATCTAATGGACAATGCCCATTAATAAAATAATTGTTCAGCACACTACAATTGTAGTGAATACACGTTTTGTCTCTTATATTTATTAAAAGTAATTATATCATTAATCATCAATGATTATATTATCGCTGATAATATAATCATTTAATGCGATATGTAAATATAATGTGAAGACTGTCAATGCACTATGTCATTGCATTATTTTTCATTTATTAACAATTATACTCTCACCCTATCTCTCACACTTTCTAAAATATTGAAATTCATAATATAGTTATCTTTCTTAACACATAACAATTACGCAGATTACATAAAGACATAGTGCGTTCTCATAATAATTCAGAGTAGAAATATAAGTGCTACGGAACTACGTCGGGGTAAAATACACAGTCGTATAATTTATTAATCCGCAAGATTGCACTATAAACACAAAGGAGAGAAGAAAATGAACAGAAACTAGAAATATTAAACGTAATATTCTGTCTGAGATACTAAACGTTGCCATAATGTGCGTAATATTGCTACCTAGAAGTTCTTCCCCAGTTGTATGAAATTCTTCATAAAATCGTGAGAAAAGAGCAGAAATATTAATGACAGAAATACTCTTGTGTGAAAGAGAACGACGGCTTTCCATCTAACATGAAAATCGCACCGACTTTGGACAGAGTTATTGCTTTTCTGAAGATAGATTTATTATTCGCTTGTTGTTGGCCTCTGCCGCGAACTGCTACAAAGTTTCAAATTATTTGTGATAGAATATTTCGGTATTTATCCATGGTGAATGGTGCATTCATGATTGTTGAGATAATATATTCAATTAGTAATCATTTAGACAATGTTTTATTGCTTATGCAATTAGCTTGTGCGTTGGGCATCTTTTGTGAAGTTCCATTGCAAATATTTTTATTTACAAAACAACATGATCGTTTGCAAGTAAGAAAAAAATTAAATATTTTTATTATGTCGACTGAATAATGTAACAAGTAGCATACAAAACATATTATTTTCTACCGAATAATCCATAAATCTATATTTAAGTATAAAATTTTATGCAATGTAATATTAAAGTTGTGTAAATAAATTAAATCTTAATAAATTTACAGAATGTAATTTGCGAGATGGAAGATTATTACAAGCAAGCTAATACTGAAGAAAAAGATGTATTTCAACAATACATTAACAAATATATTTTATTTTATGGAACTACGTTAACATTAACTACTGCCATAACTTTCGCTGGTTGTCTCATAGTGCCATTAATTCGGTCCCGCAGGTTTCCGCTAGAAATAGAATATCCATTTCGCGTTGATTATCAACCTATAACGGCGATGCTCTATTTTCATCAAGTACTTGGTATGTATCAGGTTACTTGTCAAGTGAGCGCAAATGTTTTCCTCGCTCTTCTAATATGGTACACAACGGCTCGCTTTGAGATCTTGACAAATAAATTCCGCACAGTCATCAAGTATTCTGATTGGAAAACATGCATACAAGAACATCAAGTAACTCTAAAGAAAGTATTAAAAAAATACAGATTAAGAATTATCTTTAGAATCAAATAAAATTATCACATTTCTTTATTACAAAGTTTATTCCTCATATAAATGAATCGCAAAATTCTTCTCTATTATATTTCAAAATTATAATTAAATTCTCCCTAACAGATTTGCAAAAGAAATGAGTAGTTCTATCGCACTCGTAGTGTTATCATCGCTCGGTGTTAGTACTATAGCGCTGATATTCGGCGGAGTTACATTTTTAAGCGTGCGTATATTTGTTTATTGTAATACAATTATTATACAACACTACTGAATAATTTCTGTCTGTATTTCTCATTAAAAAATTTTTGTTAAATAGCGATTTCCGCTATCCGTAAAAATTCAGTATATAATTGTATGTTTAACATCATTAATAAAAGTATTTCTGTGCGCTTGGCCGGCTGATCATCTAATGAGAATAGTAAGTCTGAAAAAAATGACCTAAAACTGGATATTATGACAAGTAAAATATACATACATATTTTTTAAATATATATTTTAGAGTTCTAATGTTGCTGAGGCAGCCTATGATTCATTATGGTATAATCAAAACATTGAATCTCAAAAGATTATGTTACATACTTTGCTACAATGTCAACGAGCTGTAGTTATATCTGTTCCTGGTTTACTAAAAGCTTTAACATTTCAACAATATACTTCTGTATGAGAACGCTTTATACTGCCTTACATGTCGATCTTTATAATTAATCAAAGTATAACATAATTTATGGTACAATGAAGAAAGTACTTCCACATAAAATACAAAAACATAAAAACATAACATTTTACCTTATAAAAGAGTATGCATGTAACTACTTTACATAAAAATAGCATCGAAAAAATTAAAATTAATAATATTTTTGTTTTTTAATAGCTTAAATCATTTTTACAATTATATCTGTCACCAATTTTGATTTGATAAACAACATCTTATTAAATTATAAAAAAAAACACATCTCATTATAAAAAAATATATAAAATTAAAAAATTTAACTTTGTACTATATAATTTTTATAATAATTCAATCACTTTTTTTTTAGTTAAAATATTATTAATATAAAAAAACATAACACAAATATTTATGAAAAAATGTTTTTGTTCTCTGATTGTCGTTAAAAATATTTTCAAAAACGTCTATTGCAAAATTTTTCTATAAAAATTATTCTTTAAAAACATTGAGATATTATCAGTATTTTAACCTTTTGTATAAATTCTTAAAACTTAAATTTATATTAAAATCTTTTTTAATACTTTTTATTTTATAATTATGTAACATAAAAATTGTTCTTTCGAATTGTACCATCAATTACAACATATGTACATATATGGCAGTAATTTACATTAAGTATCATTAACCAGTTATCCAGTATCCTTTACAAGTTATTTACATATTTATTGATTTTTCAGTACGTTTCAACAGCATTTTCTTATTTAACAACATTTCGCATAATTCTTTCTGAAGAAACATAAGTGCAAGGAAAAGAAAATTAATTTCATGAAAAGGAACACATAACTTTATCTACATAAATATGAAAGAATACATCGGGCTTAAAAAATAAAAAGTATATATTAATATAACAATTTTGTAAATTTATTATTAATTATAATTTGTTTAATTTTAATCTTAATCTAACAGATTCCAGTTCTTAATTCAGTTTTATGAGTATTCAAATTTTTGGGATATAGAAAAACGACTTCTTTCTATGCAAATATTAGTAACAATTACAAGACGGTATGTGTATATTTATTCACGTTATACATTTTGTACTATAAAATTTGTTTTATCTAAAGTTTAAAGAGTATAACATTATTAATGTAAGTATTAACATTAACATTTTATTTTAATATAATATATGTATCAAAATATAATATAAAAATATAATATAAATTAATTTCTGTATCTTATTATATTATGATTTTTGTTTTAAAAAATTATTAAACATCAAGAAATTAATTAAATTGACTTAATTAGAACTATTATAGTAAATTTACTTAATTAGAATTATTGTATTATAGTAAAAAACAGAATCAACATATATTCCAAACTAAGCTTAGGGAGACATTATCACTTATATTATTCTATATAACTTATATTATTCTATCTTTATATAGACAAACAAAAAATAAAACAATAAATGATACAAATACCTCAAAACATTCCTAAACACACCCTTAATAGCTTTATCCATTAATTACATAATTGGTAAAACAGCTGTCATAAATACGCGCAGTTATTCTCGTTAAAATAATTATTTCGTTAATTTCGATAAGTATCTAATAATATAATAAAAATTCGAAAAATTTACAAATAGTTTCAATTCATAAAAAATTCTAAATGTATTGAGATATTGTCAGAAATTCAAAAACTTATGAATACATTTTCCTAGCAATAGAAAATTTCTTGTGTTGATATGGTCCTCGTGAATATTTTATATACACGAGCACTTCTTCTTTGCTTCGTAAGTATCTCTAGAATGATATCTTAAAATCATTTTAAAATAATAATCACAAAAATTTTTCACAAAACATAATAAGCTGTAAAGCTTTTCGTTAAAAATCTTGAGACCTACATTATCTATGAGGGCTAATAGAAACATTGATAAAATTTACATTTAAATATATTATATATCTCAGTGGAAATATAGTTACAATATTAAAGAACAGCTCTTTAAGACCTAATTTAGTGTATAAATTTGTTTTTTTATTTATAAATTTTAAAACAAATAAAACTTGAACAATGAAAATCACATGAAAGAATTGTTATGCAGCTTTAATATCTAAGAACGAATTAATAATCTTTTGTAAGAAATGGTTAATTGTAACAGAATTTTAAATAGAACTCACATTATCAGATATTTTTCCTCTATTATATATTTTATAGTGAAATATACGTTAATAAATAAAAAATATTATTTATAACTCTTTGAATACTAATTTTTGGAAGTTTATGTGCCTGACCAATTCATTATTTAATAAATGTGATAATTTGTATTTTAATGGCATATTACATTCAAATCAGTATGAATATAAATATGCCATTACATTTTGAATATAAATATGCTATTACAATATAATTTATCACATTTATTTATTTAACAAAGGATTTGGATTTCATGCCCATAAGCAAACATGAAATGTATTTATTATATAACAAATCAAGAAAAGAGTTTCCATTTTTCATAATATTAACTTGTAATACATTTATAACATACGTAGCATATTTTGAATCATGCGAAGAAAAATGATGCTAAAGAAATAATCTTCGCCGTAAAGTTAAATATAATATTCTCAATTTAGTGTTGGCCCCTGCTACAAGATGTGACAAAATTTAAAATATTTTGTATGACATTGTATCATTGTTTGAGCATAATTGTAGCGACAAGTCTAAAATTATCATCGATATACGGTATCACAAATCTTGAGGTGATCCTCCTGTCTTAGTAAATAAAATTATTGTATTAAGTAGCATTTTTCACATGACTTGTATACAAAACTACTTTAATTTTACCTTTCATGTAACTCATTATCATCACATACAGGTAATTAATATTTAACATCAAAAAATTTACATGCAAATTAATTAAAGATTCATATTTTACTACTACATTTTATATGTATCAATTATTTCAAATAATTATTTGCAGAGTATTACTTTCAAAACAATAAATTTTTGCAATGATGAAACCATATGAAGAAGTTGTGATTCAACGATATATTAACGAAAGATATATACTGGAACACAATACATAAATATATTAGGTTACATTCGTAACTATCGCATTAATACCTTCTTTAATGCATTAGCCATTTTCAACATTGATCGAATATCTATTCGATGTATCTTATCAATCAGTAAAAACAATAATTTTTATATCAATCTATGGTTAGAATAATGATAATAAAACAACTATATATGAATGTTTATATGATAATATTGCATTGGCAAGATTTGAGATACTGAAGAGAAAAATTACAAATGTCTATCAATTGTTCAAATGTATTAAAAAACATTAAAAATTATTCACGTAAATGCTAAAATGATTTATAAAAAATTTATAATTTT